GCTGCATTTCCCTGCTGTCTACCACAGGCTCATTTCAAGGGCCCAAGTGCTGTGAATTATGATGGGAGGTAGCTGAGCTCAGGACACACTTGTCTCACTGTCTCCAGGTACTCGCCACTGGCTGAGCAGTTCTCCCACCAGTTCCCGTCTCATGACCTGCCGTCTGTCCTTGCTAAGTTCTCCTTGCCCGTCTCCTTGTCAGAATTTAGGAACCCCCTCGCCCCCCCTGTGCAAGAGGTGAGTCACAGGAGCTGGGAGCCCAGGAACCACCCACCCAGCATTGGTTCCTGGTTTCAGGGCCCTCAGTGTGCTGCACCCTTAGCTGTGGTTCAGGGGATGGGAGGGGCCTTGTTGTGTAGGTGGTGCATGCCCTACCAGGGTAACAGAAAGCTGGCTCCCCAGCCAGGCATCTGTAGATGCTTCACCAGTGACCCAGCACTTAGGCAGTCACAACTCCCTCCCCCTTCCATGCCCCCACGGAGCCCACCCTGGCTGCAGTGGATTGTTGTTAGTGTAAAACCCCAGGAAGAGGCCCAATCAGGAGAGAGCTAATCCTTCCTGGGGGGACAGAGCCCCCTGGTGCCCCTTTCTGGGCCTGGGTCCCACAGATGGAAGATGCTGAGGTGGTTTTGTTGTCACTGAGCCTGGGCCCGCCCTCCTTTTCCCTTCCGTCGTGGTCCAGGTGGTCACTGGGTCTAGGCTCACTGGTACCCAGAGTGGCATCCAAGACGACCTGGAGAGGATAGGCCTAGGATAGAACCCCCTGGTGAGCTGGGTCCGGGTGAGTGGTGGGTGGGGGCCCTAGGATGTGGAGTGAACGGGGGAGCTCCATCTATGTCTGGCCGGTTGAATGTGGCCTGAATCTTCCTTCAGTGAACACCTGGGGCTCTGGGCAGGGACCCAGGGCAGGGCCAGATGGGACAGGTGTCAGAGATGGGGCCAGGTGTTCTCAAAAGTGAAGTATTTGCTTTAATAAGCAGCAGATCTGTTAGACAAAACCAGTTTTTAGAAGCAGGCCCTTCCCTTTGTGAAGTTGTGAATGAGAAGGCGATCCTGGCTCCTCAGTGCATTTAGATGCCGAGTGAGACAGAGCTCTAAATGCCGTCTTTCATGGAGCCTCTGGGCTCCAGGAGCTGTGCCAGGTCATGGCAGCTGAAAGAAAGACACATCTTGCATCTGCACCCTCCCCCTCTCCAGGAGAGACTTCCTGCTGGTCTGGAAAGTGGGTGGATTTTTCAGGCCAGGCCTGCAGGGCAGCCTCATGCCTTGTCATGGGGCCCAGATAGAGCTGGGTGTGGGGTAAGGCTGCCTGCCTCTCACCCCTCCAGCTTTAGGCCTGGAATATGCTCTTCAGCGCTTTGGAGCCTCTGTTTTATTTCTTAATTTAATTTCAAATTTAGTTTACAATTCTTTTCAGTTTTATTTGGTTTTACCAGGTCATTCACACCTATGGTACACCCCTATTTCCATGCCTGGTCAGCCAGCCCCTCCCAGGAGGGGACCCCCAAAGATGAGCAAGTGGATGTGTGTCTGAGAAATGGACACCATCTGGGAGCATTTTCTTGCTCACCTGTGCTGGAGCTCTGCCCACACAGGGCTCCTCATGCTCCTACGTAGGTGCTAGCCTGTGGGAGAGGGGTGGATGCCGTGCCCTGGGCACCGTACAGCTCAGCGTAGGTCCCTGTCCCTGGGAAGGCTTTTGTGTGGAGCTGAGGAGAGGACTTCCTGCTCTCAGGGCAGCTTCCTACAGCTTCTCTCTGCAATGTCACAGGGAAGGGGTCCCACAGGCCCAGCTCTGTGTGGTGGGGTTTGCGTGGCAGGGCCCAGTGGCCTGGAGGAGACAGGGTAGCAGAGGGGTAGCTCTGAGCTGGGAGGGCACATGGGCCTCCATGTCACAGGCCCTGCTCCTCAGCTCTGGGCAAGAAAGGCCTGACACTAGGGCAGCCCAGGTGTGTGGTGGGAGCAAGTGCAAATATGGCCTCGCTGCTCTCTTAGCCTCGCTGCCTTCCCTGGGGTTAGCTAAGAGCTCCCAGTAGCTAAGAGCTCCTTCCTGAGGGCCCCTGGAGCTTATGCACCCCCTGATCTCCAGGGTGACTTGTGGGGGTCGTGTCTTAGGCCGTGGCTCCCCAATCCGATCAGGAAGGGAACAGGGTGGTGGGGGGGGTCAGCCTCCCCCAGTGCCCCAGGCCTCACACTGCTGTCCCGCAGACCCAGCTCATTCAGATGGTGGTGTGGATGCTGCAGCACAGGCTCCTGGTCCAGCTGCACACCTACGTGTGCCTGATGGCCTCACCCAGCCAGGACGAGCCCCGCCTGCGCGAGGATGAGGTCCCCTTCACTACCAGGGTCAGCGGCCGCAGCCTCAGCACACCCAATGCCCTCAGCTTTGGCTCCCCAAGTAGGAATCCCTTCCCCGGGCATCAATCTGGTGGTGGTGGTGGGGGTTGGTCGAGCACCTGGGGAACACTTGGGAGTGGTGGCCAAGAGGTACATCAAGGGCGCTGCTGGGAATGGCCGAGGGACTTCACGTGGCCACCCATGCACACACTGCCTCGTGCGGGCGGCTGGATCCTCACGCAGCCTTCCTAAAGGAGGGCAGGAGATCCGTCTCCCCGCTTGCCTGCACCTCTGGCTCTGAGGAGGCTGTATCTTTGGGCTCTTGAGCAGGGCTTGCTCAAGCCAGGAGTAGCCTGCCCCCGGCCTGCCATGCCACCCATCACTGGGAGGACAGTTGAAACCTCTGCCCCAGGGCCTATGAGAGACAGTGACTGCCATGGTCCCTTCCTGAAAGAGCCGTGTGGCCATAGTGTGCCCCCAAAGGCAGCAGCCATTGCCAAGCCCAAGTCCCTGGGCTTGGGGAAGAAGAGGGGCTGGAAGGCTTTGCGGGAGGTGCCTCCCCAGGCTGAGGCTTGGCCTCCGGCTTCAGGTTCAGGGCGAAGACCTGTCCAGCCCCTCATGCATGTTGGGTGGGAGGGATGTCCTTGGGGGTGGACTGCTCCCTGACCCGTGCCCACCCACAGCCAGCAGTGACGACATGACGCTCACCAGCCCCAGCATGGACAACTCCAGCGCAGAGCTTCTCCCCAGTGGAGACTCCCCGCTGAACAAGAGGATGACAGAGAACCTGCTGGCCAGCCTGTCCGAGCACGAGCGGGCAGCCATCCTCAGTGTGCCTGCAGCCCAGAACCCCGAGGACCTCCGCATGTTTGCCAGGTGGGAGCAGGGAGACAGGTGGGGCTAGGTCCAAGTCTAGGGTCAGGACAGGAAGTGGATGGGGCAGTACCCAACAACCCGCAACGTAAATCCGTTGACGACAAATAGCACTCACCGGTTGAGGGGATGTCCCATACACTGGGGTGTCCCTGCCGCTACCTGTGCGTGCCAGGCGTGAATCAGTCTGTTGCCGAGACACCGTCTGTACCTCTGTCTTCAGGAGTCTCTCCAGGACTTCCTGGGGTTTGTCACTTCCTGGGAAGCAGCAGCAAGTTCTCATCCCCATGGGCTTGGCAGTGATTTTCCCAGGACTTAGCCTGGGGGTGGGGGATCCAGATCCACATCATAGGTGACACAGACTTGGTCACACCCACCGTTTGGGGCCCGGTAGACGATGGTTTTCTGGAGGAGGTCAGACTCAGGGACGGAGCCCCCAGTGAAGAACCACATGCCGGGCAGCTCTTTGAAGCAGCTGGTCCAGGCCTCTGTTCAGTCCCAGGCCGAGACACCCCCTAGAGCAGTGACCCCATTTGGATCCAGAGCCACACGGGACTCGCTGCCAAGCAGAATGAAAAAGAGAAGCCTCCCCAGACCCGTCCCCCTGCGCTGCCCCTCCCATGTCAGAATGCTGAGGGTGGTGCGACCCTCGGGCTCAAGTGGGCTCTGGGGTTTGAACAGGAATGTGTTCTCACAGACGCACTTCAGAGAACCATGGTGGGCAGCAGGCCCAGGACACTTGCCTGCTCCTGTTGGGGGTTGGGGGTGGGCATGGGCAGCTGCCTCCTGGGCCTCTGAGACGCCCTCACCAGCTCTGTTTTGGCCTGTGGGCCGCTCAGTGGCTGTTGGAACAGAGGCCAGCCTGGGCTTGTGCCGCCCTCCCCTCCAGGCTGCTGCAGTACTTCCGTGGCCGCCACCACCTGGAGGAGATCATGTACAATGAGAACACCAGGCGCTCGCAGCTGCTCATGCTCTTCGACAAGTTCCGCAGCGTGCTGGTGGTGACCACCCACGAGGACCCAGTCATTGCCGTCTTCCAGGCCCTGCTGACGTGAGCCTGGCCGAGGGTGCAGAGGCAGGCAGCTGCAGTGCACGGGGGCACCCGCATCTCCCCACCCCAGGGCTCCCTCCCGACCCGGCCTGAGTCCTTTTAGCCCTGAGACCCGACTTCACCTGCGTCAGCTGCCTCCTGGGGCTGCTACCCTCTGCATCCTCACTTATCTAGTCTCCAAAACAGGTCAGTGCCTGAGCTGAGAAGGTGAGGCTCTGAGCTGGGGAGCCGTCCAGGACTCATGCTCTGAGTGAGGCCTGCATGCTTCCCACACAGATTTGGGCCACATGTTTCTCTGACCTCCCTCCCAATCCTGCCCGTGTTCCCCGGCCCCTTCCACTGCTGCCCTTCCAAGACGGAGGGCCCAGTGCCTGGCCTGTCCTGTGTGGCCCCGCACTGCTCCATTCCGCCCAGCTTGCTGTGGGCCTTCCTGGCCCGGCCCTCACCACAGACACCAGGAGGCTCATGCCTTAGCCATCCGCTCCCCTTTGCCACCTGAGGCCTGAGGGCCTGGGCTCGTCCATGATGCTTACTTGGCTCCCCGTTGGGGTGTCTGCACTGGTGTTCCCAGTCCTCCCTCACAAGGGTGGGGTGCAGGGGGCCTCCATCGGGCCTGAGGAAGGCAGTGCCCATGCTGGGCCTGGCTCGAGGTGCCCGCTGCACACCTAGCCCCTGACAGCCACAGCCTGGAGGAGGAACTGATCATTGAGGGGGCTCTGGCTGAGACACAAGTGACACGTTTTCTAGAAATAAAGCATTTATTTGGTTTTTAAACAATTAAAAAGCCTGTCCTTAGCAGGCCCTTGCTTAGACCTGTGTGTCCTGCTCAGCTCCTCTGTCCACCACACTGACCCAGGGGCTGCCCTGGATATAGAAGCGCAGGGGCTTCTGGGCCCACTCTCCTGCGTTGCCGATGCCCACTCGGGCTGCTGCCACCACCGCTGGCTCCCTGGGCCCCGGAGGGCTGTGCTCTAGCCACACAGCCTTGTCCGTGGTGAGGTCTCGTTGGTCGAAGCTCTTGTCGATGGCCAGGGCCTGACAGAGCTTGGAGGGGCCACTGCAGAGCTCACGGTCTTTGAGGGCCCGGCCGGTACTGCCTTTCCGGGAGGTACTGCGAAGCTGCCGCATGTTCTCCAGGCCCCCCAGGGGCTCCAGTGCTCGCAGCAAGACACATGCTCCATCCCCTGTGGGACAGACAGACAGTGACTAGCCCTCCCTACCCAGGGCACAGCCAGTGCTGCAAGGATGATGCAGCTGCCTTCCTGAGCACCCCTGTACTCATTCACAGTCCAGACCCACTTCCTACACACCTGCACCCACAAGGCCCCAGGTGGGGCCTCCATGAAGCCAGAGGGCCTGACCAGCTAGGGAGAACCAGTGAAAAGGCACGGCAAGTGCTTGCAGCTGGCCTCCTCTGGTTTGGCGACCAGCAGCAGCTTTGAGGTTGGCAAAGGAAACCCCAAATGGCCGGTCCTCCCTGGGCATGGTCATCTCTACCCAGGCTCAGGATTCCCCCATCTGCCTCTACCCACTCAGTGTCTATTGGCCAAGCCAGAAGGTTGGCTCTGAGCAGCTAGCAGTGTGCATAGGATGCCGGGTGAGCCTCACCCCATGACTCAGTGGGGAGACAAACAGTGCAGAAGGAGGTGTCTGCTGATAGCACCCCTCCTTTGGGATCCTTTCTGGCCCCTCAGTCCAGGCTACTTCAGCAAATTGACACCCTGGGCCCAAGAAGACATTTGTCCAAATTCCCTTGGCCCTGCATGGCTAGGGGCAGTGATACCCGGACCCTGGCCAGAGAAGCCCAATCCCAACAAGGCCACTCTCCTGAGACACCAGCTCTGCTGACTCACGTTGGCCTGCCCTTCTACCGGGGGGTCTGAGAAGCTCAGCCTGAGGGGTGGCCAGGCCAGTCCCCACTCTTGGGCCTCACCATACAGGCCTCATCAGCGCTGGGAGAACCCTGAGTGGATGCAGCAGCTACACTCCCTGCACAGCCAGCAGCTGGCAGGTGGGGTTTTGGGGACCAGATGCTTTAACCAGCCAGTTTTCAAAGAACCTCAAGATAGACTAAGGGCAGCCTGGCCGGCATGGCTCAGTGGTTGAGCATTGACCAATGAACCAGGTCACAGTTTGATTCCTGGTCAGGGCACATGCCTGGGTTGTGGGCTTGATCCCCAGTGTGGGGCGTGCAGGAAGCAGCTGATCCATGATTCTCTCTCATCATTGATGTTTCTATCTCTCCTTCCATCCTCTCTGAAATCAATAAAAATATATTTTAAAAATTAAAAAAGAAAAAGGTATGCTAAGGGCAGACCTAGCCGTTTTGGCTCAGTGGATAGAGCATTGGCCTGCAGACTGAAGGGTCCCGGGTACGATTCTAGTCAAGGGCTCGTACCTAGTTGCCGGCTTGATCCCTGGCCCTGGTTGGGGCTCATGCGGGAGTCAACCAATTAATGTCTCTCTCTCACATCGATGTTTCTCTTTCTCTGTCCTCCTCCCTTCCACTCTCTCTAAAAATCAATGGAAAATTTGATCCTTGGGTGAGGATGAACAAAAAAGAAAAAAAAAAAAAAAGATACACTAAGGGCAAGCAAAGACTTGAAGTTCCAGTCCCTCTAATTGCTAGGCCCTGCCCAGCCCACCAGCCTCAGGGCTTCCTCTGTGTCCATGCCGAGCTGCTGTAGGTGTAGCACGTCCCTCACTATCTCGCCTCCCAATGGGCTGCAGGAGCAGCCTACCCCCTCGATCCCATGTCCCCTCTCCTGGAACGCACCTGAATCCTGCACCCTGACATAGAACCAGAACACCTTAACTTCTTCCCACAGAGTCTCCAGTCTCAGCTCTACTCCACCTGCACCACCCATTGGCCTTCACACCACCGCCCCCACCTGCTCCCCTGGTCATCTCTGCACTGCGTCCACCCTGAGGGCAGGCAGGCATGGAGCTCGACCTTGGCCCCCTCTCCTTTGATGCACCTGGATAACCTTTGGCCCTGACTGTGCACCCATGTGGTTTGCTGCTCCCCTGAACTAGGTGTTCCTGGGGCATGTTGGTCATGTGTCCAGAAAGTAATAACGCCACCTCCCACATCTGCCCTGCCCACCCTCAGAAGCCCTGGCTCCTCCCTGCCTTGCTGACCACAACCCCAGACACCTCTGGACTCAGTCTCCCTCCTTATCTGAGTTCAGCCCCACCTCACGTGACGACCAAAATAAGCTCCAGAGTGAAATGGCCCTAGGGGTGCTCCCCGCCATCCTGATGTCCAGCCACTGTTTCCCTCAACACCCTTCTTGTGCCAGGCACAGGGCGTCGGGTTATCCAGTCCTCATGCCCTTGCAGCTCTGGCAACGAGCACCCCCAGCTGCCCTCTAGGCACTCACAGCTCCCACGCCCCTGGAATCATTCAACAAATGTGTCTGACTTACAGCACAGCAAACCCGTCCCCACTGGCCTCCTCAAGCATTTGCTCATCTTGGGACCAGCATCAGGCTTGGCAGACAGACACAGGGACTGGAAGCCAGCGTGGGCTGGGCTGACCCTGCTCCTATCAGCAGTGGCTCTGATAAGATGGTGCTGTGGGCTCTGTCTTTCGAACACAGACCACCCGGAAAGCAAAGCCACCTGCTCCCAAAGCACAGAGGCCACCCAGACAGGTCCCATGAGCTGAGTGGGTTCTGGGAGCTCTAGTCCAGCATCTCCCCCCGTGGCACTGACATTGGGGCGAACGGTTTTTTGTGATGGGGGGGGGTCTCCTGGGCATTGTGAGCTGTTCAGCACCACCCACCAGCAGTGATGACCCAAAATGCCTGCAGACGCCTGGTGTTCCTCCAGGAGGGCAGAATCACCCCCGGTTGAGAACTGATTCAGACCCCATAACTGGCCGCCTGGCAAGGCTCCTGCCAGAGCCCTGCTCAACTCAAATAGATTTCACCCTCCTTTTCCCACAACCAGCCCCTCCCGAGTCTACCCTGGCCTGTTGGTGACACCACATCTGAGCTCTGGAGCCAGCGGTGGCCTCATGGAACCTGTGTGTTATGTGTTCGGGTCAACCCATGACCTCTATTTCATGGGGGTCCCCAGCCCCTCTGACCACCCTGTGACCACGGCCAGAGCTCCTGAACCCTGACCTAGCCCAGCAATGGCACCTCCTTGCTCAAACACCTGCCCCACCCTGGTCTTCCCAGGGGTCTGCCAGCTGCCAGCTGAGGGGGCTGTGTCCAGGCCTCCTGCTCCAGCCCCCAGCACTGCTCACCTTGGCTGGAGACATTCATGCAGAAGTACATGCCATAGATGAAGTACACATACAGGGTCCCCGGCTTCATGAACATGCCGCGGTTGCGGGGGGTCTGCCGGCCGCCCCTCGAGTGGGCAGCTTCATCCTCGGGCCCCAAATATGCCTCAGTTTCAACAATTCGGCCACGGAGCTCTGTGCCATCGTCGAGTCGCCGGACCAAGACCTGTGGGCACCAGTGTCGGCTCAGGACACGAAGGGTGGTTCCCTCCACCTGACAGTCCACAGCCTGGACCGCACCTCCCTAGCTCTGGGCACACCAGGGCCAGCCAGTTTCCCTCCAATGTCCCTCTGTCTTGGCGGACCTCTAGACAACAGACCTTGTTCGCTGAGTGTCTTGTCTATAGGTTGCAGCCATTTCAAGCTCTGGCCTCTGCTGGGCTGCAAACCAGCACTAGTGCATTCACCCCTCCATGTCCTCTCAGGCCCCCCATTGCACTGCCTCCTCCTCCCCAGGGTCCCCCTGAACTTACATGCTTAGGCTGGGGCAGGGCAGCATGGAGGACACCCCAGTGTTGCCCCACCATGGCTGCCTGTGGACTAAACACCAAGTACTGTCACACTCAGCTCCTGCCACCAGCTGCCCGCCGTGCTCCTGGCTGAACCATGGCCTGGGTGTAGCCAGCTCCACAAGGAATGGGGTCAGTGTGGGCAGTGGGCCAGGAAGATGAGCCTGGCTGCAGTTGGCTTGGATAGTGCCCTGGGCAGGGGTGGGGCCAGGAGGGGCCAGAGGGGCCAGCCGAGGACAGGGGCAGTTGCCAGGGATTCTCACGGGAGGGGGGGGGCAGATGGGGGGGCAGCGGGTGCTCTCAGGCCAGTGGAGCACCTAGGAGGGCCGCCCAGGGGAGCCAGACCTGCGGAGTGCTGAGCATGCGGCGTCCATGCTCCCCAGCTGGGCCCTTCTGCCCTATGGAGGGGACTGCTTCTGGGCTGGGCAGCACAGTACGGCCCAGTGTCCAAAGGTCCAGGCCTGACTCAACCAGGGTTCACAGTGGGGCTTTGGGGGCAGCCACCTCCCCAGGGACGTGCCCAGCACCGGCCTTGTCCTTGGGCCAGAGCAGTCAGTTGGACGGCCAGGCCACCCCTGCCTTAGCCCTGGGAGCCCAGTGTCTGCGGCCGGGATCCGTGTCATGGGACAGGACACTCTGGGGTAGTGTTGGAGGAGGCCTTCCTGAGACAGAGAGGAGAAAAGGGGGTCGATGCCTCCCCTGGGAGCCCATCTCCAGGACGAAGAGGAAGTCCCATTCCATCTCAGATGAGGCCTCACTTCCATCCTCTCAGGACATAAAGGGGGCGTTGCTCCATGAGCCTCGCTCCTGTTTCCACACCTCCCGAGGCCAACGGGGTGCCTGCCCTTGGGAGGGGAGCGTCTCATGGCTCTTTTCTCACTGTGGTTTTTTAATTTGAATTTTCTGCTCTGAATTTCATTCTGATAACGTTTCCAGATAGTAGATGTTGGTTGCCTCCCATGCCCATTACAAACACATCTCCTTGCTGGTGGAGGCAACACCTTCTGAGACAAGAGGGTGACTTGAGGGTGGTCTGGGTGTCATGGCAACTCACTGCTCCTTGCAGTGACCTGTAGAGGGGTGACCCGAGCCTGGCCCAGTGGTCTGCAAGGACATCCACTGGGAGGCTGTGAGAGGCTGTCCTCCCTGACCGCAAGGACACAGTGCGAACCCTCCTCCGCTGGAGAATGCCCTCTCTACCCTCGGGCTCGAGCGGGCATGATGGGGGCCAAGGGAAACTGACACGCTGAGGCCCTTAGGCCCCTGACCTGATGCAGGGCCTCCTCTGCCCCATGAGCCACGGTATGTGAGAGCATAAACCCTCGTTACGTAGGGTTCTTTGAGAAGGACCTTTTGGCCCCTGCAGCTGAAAGACAGGTCTGGCCCGTAACCACGAAGTCCTGCTTTAGGTTACACTCCACTAGCTCACACTGCAGGATGTGTCCTTTCAGCACCCAGCGCCTGGAGCCTTTTTCTATCAGTCACAGAAACGGAGCCACTTGGCCACTGTAACCTAAAGGTAGTCTCATGGGATCGCGAAGAGGACCAGAAAGCCAGGAACAGCACCCCGATGGTGCTCCACACAGATGTGGCCCAAACTCTGCTGTTGCTGACACGTGGGCCCTGCACCATCCCTGCTTCCCGGTCTAGACCCTGAGCCTGCTCTGAGCTACAGGGGTCGCGGGGGAGCCAGCAGTCGCACTGTGAGCTGCTGTGGTGAGCAGGAAGCTGTGCGTCAAGGCAATCCTGACACTGGGCAGTCCGTAGGCCATGGCCACTGCTCTCATGTGGCTAAAAGCTCTCACTACTACACAGACAGACAAGCTACAGAGGGGCACTGTGTCAGGGGACGGGAAGGGACAAAGTTAGCCCCCCACAGACACACACCGGGGCCAGCACTTGAAAGAAACCTGCCCTGAGGGCAATACCAGCTGGAGGCCAGTGTCCTCACAATCTCAGCATTCCTCCCAACTGGTTCCGGACCCACCCCCTCCCAGACGACTGAGGCGAAGCTCCCAGTGCGGGCTAAGCAGCTACCTGCGTGAGGACCAGCGGGGCCAGGTCAGGGACGCCGGCCCGGTGGCGAGAGGTCTGGTGCCCACAGACGCTGCGTGGTGATGGCCACTTCAGCGGAGGCCCAGTCACTACGTCGACATTACCTGTCCCAGAAACGCCCGGGCCAGGGGGACTGCAGGCTGGTCGAAGAAGTCTAGTCCCAGGCGAGCAGGGGGGTCTCTTGGGCTTGAGAAATAGATACTGCGCTGGGGACCCGGGGTGTTGGGCAGACCCAGGCGGGGCTCCTTGGGGGAGGGTGTCGGGGTTCCGTCTGGTGGGCTCTGATGCTGCTCTGCCCCCAGAAGCCGCTGCTTTTTCAGCCCCAGTTTGCGGGAAAGCTGTTACAGGAAAGAACAAAATAAAGCGTCCGAATCAGGAGAGGGCAGAGGGCTGTGCGGTGGGGTCAGGCTTGCAGCTTCAGGACCGTATTTCACTGCCTGCCTCAGTTTCCTCATCTGCAAAATGAGGGCGACCGTTTTGTGCAAACAGAATGCCAGGCCCGATGTGCTCAGGGCCTGGCTCAGGAGGGTCCTGGGAGGCCTTGGGGAAAGAGCGCACGTGAGGAAAGGCTGGTGGCAGCAGAGACAGGGCCAGGGTGACCACTGCTTCACACACCCGCCACGTGCAGGACATGTGCAACTCTGGCAAAGGGCTGCAGGCCCAGGGAGGGGACAGTGGGCACCCGCGGCTGGCACAGGGGGGCTGGTATCCTCTGACTCCCATTTATCCTATGGATCCCGAATGAATTCTGAGCTTGCTTTTGGAACCCTTCAGACCTTAACCAGGAATTTGGTGGGGGAATGGATTGTGTCACCCAACACCCCCCTCCCCCCCACCAGCTGACACATCCACTGTGCCAAACCCCCCCTCAGAATGGCCTAGATACAGTGGTCGGCAAACTCATTAGTCAACAGAGCCAAATATCAACAGTACAACGATTGAAATTTCTTTTGAGAGCCAAATTTTTTAAACTTAAATTATATAGGTAGGTACATTGTTATTAACTTAATTAGGGTACTCCTAAGGCTTAGGAAGAGCCACACTCAAGGGACCCCAAAGAGCCGCATGTGGCTCGAGAGCCGCAGTTTGCCGACCATGGGCCTATGAACAGGGGTCCTCAAACTACGGCCCGCGGGCCACATGCAAATACAAATATTGTATTTGTTCCCGTTTTGTTTTTTTACTTCAAAATAAGATATGTGCAGTGCGCACAGGAATTTGTTTATAGTTTTTTTTTTAAACTATAGTCTGGCCCTCCAACGGTCTGAGGGACAGTGAACTGGCCCCCTGTTTAAAAAGTTTGAGGACCCCTGGTAGAAGGTCTGACACACACGGGTGGGTGGACACCAGGCTGACCACCTGCTTGGCCGCACTCCAAGCTCATGACTCTCCCTCCTCTCCCCGTGAGTCCCCAGTTGTCCTCTGCCTCATGACCCAGGATGTCAGGACAAGCAGGGCAAAGGTGAGGTCTCCTGAGGGACGAGGAGGCTCTGCTGAGACCTGCCCACTCTCTGCCTCCTTCCTGCCACAACGACCCCGCTCCCACCAAGGAAACCGGAGCACACACCCTGGCTGTTCTAGGAACGGCTGACCTCCCAAGGGCAGGGGGAGAGGAAGGAGCAGGTGGGCAGCAGGGCCTGCGAACACCCCTCAGGGGCTGCTCTCCAGCAGGACCCGTGTCTCCCTAGCATGTGACAGACCCATTATTTTTAACATAAGTGCTGACGTCCCATGTCAAGCGGAGGCCGCCAGTCTGCTGAGAATGGACGCTGACGTGACCGTCTTTGCAGCCCAGCCCATCTGCCAATCCCCACCAGGGGCTCAGACTCTGGGGCGCTGATGACCCTGCTCTCACCCTGAGTTTGGCCCCTGGCCTGCCCCATGGCACTCGGCCCACCCTGGGGGGTGGGGGACTCACTGGCTGTCCAGGCACTGAGGCCGAGAGGCCTCAGCTTCCCCATCACAGACCTAGGATTTGAAACGGCCTCAGGGCTTCGTGGTGACGGTGATACAGGCTGTTTAACCCGAGGGCTGAGGAACCCGGTGACCCTGCTGTTGCACCCCAGGGTGAGTGGGGTCTCAGACCGTGCACCCGGGTGCCTCACACGCATCGCCCGGCCCTGGTTGGAAATGAGGGTTCCCTGGGTGAGAAGCACCAGAAAATGACCCGAGGTATCCATGCTCCTGTTTCCTCATCTACGGTCAGGGAACCGACCACACCTGCCCTGAAAATAAAACGAGAAGCCGGGAAAGCACTTGGCTGGCATACAGCAAGCACTCAGTGCTTTCCCTTGGCTGGCATACAGCAAGCACTCAATGGCGGGAGGGAACCCTGACCACGAGGGATACCTCCGGGCAACGCCTGGGGATGAGATTCTTGCCAGCTGAGCGGGCCTGGCCAGCCC